TATATATATATATTTAAAAAGTGCAAAGCTGCATTAAATAAACTTTATTCAGAAAACATCAGTCACTGAAGCAGAACAAACTGATCTTTCCACTTCTTAATTTTAGTCAGGACATCTTATACGTGCTAAATAGCTGTATTTCCTCTTCCTGTTTTTGAAATGACTAGACATTAAAATATTTCGTGCAAACTTGCCTTAACACGCCAAAATCACATTTTTATCTCAACTAATGCAACTTAAAAATTAGACCTCCTACAACACACCCACGTGAACATTTATATTTWGACTAATTTCCTTTGTTGTTTTTTATTTTGGGACAGAAACGGCAGTCTCAGGTGCCGAGGACAGCATAGAGACGAACGAAGCCGCTGCAGCTCTGCTTAACATGGAGTCTCCCAACAATATTTTGGACGAGAAGCGTATGAGTGAGTTTGTTTTTGCCTTGAAGGATATCATGTTAAAAGTGTTGTTAATGAATCCAACAATCGAGTGTCACACAGGTGAATATATATATTTTTAATGTGTTGTATAGTTCACACCTACAGCACTCTGCTGGACTCAGAAATGACATACGCCCCGCTGAGGCCCGACCAAATGGACACTGTTGCCCTTGACGTGTCCCTAGACGAGGACACGTCCTCCATGGATGAGATTCCTCAAAGGTGTCCTTTAAAACCTCAGAAAAAAACCAAAGGTACCACAAATCCTTTTCGACGTTATCTGCCACTAAAGACTCAGCGTAATAGATGATCAGGTGACTTCATTGTGACCTTGCACCTCATAATGTATTGCCCTTTAAATTGAATCCTAGTGCGAAAGCCCCGGGCGGTGCGTCCCTGCTCTCCTATCACCACTCCTAACCTGCCACTCAGGAAGAAGAGCAAAGAGGGCAAAGGTAAGACTCATTAACTAGTCCACTCTTTTTTTTTTGAATGAGCCAACGAAAAGCAAAGACTCTGCGCCTTTTTCTGTATGCCACTGAGGTGGGGCCCAAGCCTGTTAATGGATGAGGGGATCTCAGATTGTTGCGTTTCACTGGGAACCAGGAATGATGGCAGGCTGGAGGGCACGCCGACACTCTGCTGATGGAAGCAGGGTGGCGGCGCTTTGCGCGGACCCTCGCCGCACCGTCCAGCATGACACAAAAGAGGGAGGGGTCTTGGGACGGCAGGTTCAGTTGCACCCGTATACATCACCCTGTCACGGCATCTGGCATTCCAGTGACTTCAGGGAGTGTTGCTGTTTTTAACCACTGCCGGCCAAAGTGTCTTACAAAGAGACTAATCTGCTGCCAGCCTTGGTCTAATGAATTTTCTTTTCAAGCCACACAACAATCGCTGCAGAAAAAATGTACATTTTCCTCTGTATGATTTTCATACCCAGACTAAGCTGCTGAATAATTCTAGATTCCAATCTGAAGCCCTGCTTTGACTCTTCCATGTGCCTGAATGTTCAGACCGTGACTCAGATCCTCCCCTGCCTTTAATTTGCAGGCAACACCATCTACCTGTGGGAATTCCTTCTGGCTTTGCTGCAAGACAAAAACACCTGTCCCAAATACATCAAGTGGACACAGCGCGAAAAAGGCATCTTTAAGCTGGTGGACTCCAAGGCTGTTTCAAAGCTTTGGGGCAAACACAAGAACAAGCCCGACATGAACTATGAGACCATGGGGAGGGCTCTCAGGTGAGGAGCGGCATACCAATGAGAACGACATTTTCCAAAGTGACATTATCATGCACCCCAGCTCTCATTTAGCGCTTAACCTTGAAGACACTCTTCCACAGACATGTTCGTATTAACACACCGGAATGATGGTTTAAAGTTTGATGAGGCTTGTAAAACTTTAATCACGATAATGTCAATAATGTGTTGAACAGAGTCGTCTCCATTTTTCTCCCTCAGGTACTACTATCAGAGAGGGATCCTGGCTAAAGTGGAGGGGCAGCGGCTGGTTTATCAGTTTAAGGAGATGCCGTCTGACCTGGTGGTGATCGACGACGAGGACGCGGTTTCGGACACCTGCGAGAATCAGAGGTCTGCCAACGGGAGGTCTGTGGTTCGCGGAGGGTCCAAAGGCCATGGAAGGGCACATGGTGGGCACCATGTCGCAGTGAAACACATGAAGAAGGAGCCCGTTGACGAAAGGCTGTACCAGGACGTTAGCTGTGGACAGGCTGAGCAGCTCCTCCATTCTGTTCATGTTTTGCAAGAAAACCATGGATCAGGTGTTCAAGACGCAGCACAAGCAGTGAGGTAGGTGACACACTTTTTTTGTTTTTAGAAATTGCCATATAAAATACACCAGAGAGAAGCCATCAGCTAAATAAAGACTCCTTACCTTTATTTCCCCCCAATCAAAGAAAGACATAAATTATTTTCTGCTTCAGGATTTAAAGAAAGTTTATTCTCCAAGGACCGGCCACTAATCAATTGCAAAACATTCCTAACAGTTTCTGTTGAAATTCTTTTTTTCCTCGGTTGAATTTGTGATCAGAGGCAGCTGCTGGTCGTCAAACCTTTTGACAGCAGTGATTAAAGACTTGAAGTTACGAAATTATGCTCTCCTCTTTTGCATGTGACTGACCTCTTTGTCCACCATGTGGAGGCAGGGTTTATAAGGCTGAGTTCACCTGAAACTCATCAGACTGAAGAAATCTCTTGGACAAGAGATGAAACGTTTCACTAAAGATGAACCCATCCAGAGGACCTACTTATTTTTGCTTTTTGATTACGAAATTATGGTTCGTCGTGGCAAAAAATAGTTTTAAGACGTTACTTCCAATAAAATCGTTATAGTTCAGATTTAACAAATCAGCTCTAAGACATTCATTAAAATGGCTCTGTTGGTTTTTCAATCAGTAAAAGTTTAAAGTTAAAGGGGAAAGCTGCAGGTGGCTATTTGAATGGCTGCGTTACATCAGTCCCACAAGTGACATAGATCCAATTAACTACATATTGTAAATATTAAAACAAACGTAAATTTAGTTTATAGTTTAGTTTGTTTTAGTTAGTTTATTCATTTCATTTAAAACAAAAACAAAAAAATTTAATACATGTTAAAAACAAAACAAAAAAATACACAACATATATACACAACAAAAAATAAACAAATCAAATTGAAATGAACGGAGGCAGAAAGAAGAAAAAAGTCTTATAATATCTGCCCATTTTTTCTATAATTAATTTCAAACAATAATAATCACGAAACAAAAACAAAAATAAAAACTTCAATTCCTTCTCAAACAACAACTTTGATATACATTACACAATTTCATACTTCTTTAATTGAAGCCATTCATACCACATATTTAGGCACCCTGAAATGATCCTCCGTTTGTCTCTTTTAAAATTAAGAAAAATAACTCAGCTTCATCACCAAATGTTTAAGAGTCACACAGTTGAATGAATTTCAACAGGACAGAAAAACAGATTTTCCAGACCTCTGTGGTTCAGAATCTCAGATTACAGGTATTAAAAACATAAATGTCACGAGGTGAGCACAAAAATAATAAACTCTACGCGTAAGCGTCAACGATACACGTTTGTAATGTTCTGCAGAATTCGTTTTTTATTGTTTATTTGGAATTTTGTTGTGTTTCTATTGAGTCCACTGTCTGTTTTATGAATGCATTATCATCCTGTGATATTCTCTGAGCTGTTAAACATTGTCTGCTGTTAGAAAGCAAACAGAGAAACACATTTTTCTGTGGAGATATGCGAAATGTTTCTAATAATAACCAGGGTATTAAGTCTGCTGTTTACCATCGTACTGGTATTCCAGTTTACTTTCTCAGTAGGTTTTGATTGAAAAATGATCCTTGTCTGTATTATCAAATATACAAGCAGAATTACAATTCCAGCAGCACTGTAGAGCACATATTCACTTTTTGTTTGTTTGTGTGTGTGTGTGTGTGTGTGTTTGTGTGTGTCTTTCCAGGACAATCAGCACTCCTGTATCGGTACCTATGGTGCTGACGTCCACTGGCTCGCTGCAGTCAGTCCCCCTCACAACTGTTCTGGCCAACGGGGAYTCCAGCCACTCCTCGCCTCCTCGGGTTATCCTTCACACCATTCCCTCCTCGACCGCAGTCGGTAAAGATGTGCTCACCATCCAGACGGCCTCTTTAGCAGGTGGWGCCAGCGGCCTGCCGGACGGCCTCCCGCAGCAGCTTCTGGTCACCAGCCTGGGCTCCTCCGCCACCTCCTGCACGTCCCCTCCGGGAGTCATTAGTTCCGCCGCCTCCAGCCTCAACGGCCTCCCCCGCCTCGTCACCATCAACACCACCAACGGGCAGACGATGGTGGCGCAGCAGCCCGGCACCGTGATCGCCACGGTGCTGAAATCCAGCGACCTCTCGGGCCTSCAGGTCAAAGAGGAGATGCTGGACGCCAGCTACTTCCAGTCCATCGTGAACGGCGACCCGTCGCTGGCCGCGCACGCGTTCGAGAAGGAGGAGATGGAGGCGGGGGAGGCGGAGCTGCAGTACAGGACTGTGATCATCGACACCAGTCAAAGTCAGGGCCACGGGGCCGCACACGAAACTGTAATAAACGGACATTACTCCCAGAGCAGCAGCCCCGGTGAGGGGCTGACCCCCGTGGAGGAGCTGGAGGTCCGCGGGGAGATGTCCCTTCAGCCAGAGCCGGGAATCAAAGGCCTGCAGGAGCTGCCGCTGTCTGTTCAGCTGCCTGCAAACTTTATCCAGATAAAAACAGAACCTGCAGAGGCTTAGAGCGACAGGACTCTTCCACATAAGCTGAACCCCCCACCACCACACAAAAAAAAAAAATCATACAATAGAATTTCTGGTGAAATATTCTCTCTTCTACCACAAAGATCTGATGAAACATCAGAAGTGAGAGGCGCGTTGCTCTTAAAAGCTGGTCAGTTCAGCCTCAGGATTTATTGTTTACTGACATGTTTTGTGACCATGTGCCTAATTTCAAAAATCTAGGGAGTAGTGGTTTTTTTTTTTCTTCTTCTTTTGTTCAAGAAAAGTTCCTTTTCAGATGGCGACACGAATCCCAACACGAAGACAAAATACTTTCTCTCTACAGGAGAACATCTGTTGGATGAACCTGGGATCTCTGTCCACCACATGTGCCAGTTAATTCTTTTTTACTCTACATCTCGCATGTCGGACTCACGGTAATGGAGAACGAAAAGAAAACGAGGCCTGAATGCCAAACAGTTGTGACGTCTGAATACGTGCAAAGGTTTCTGAGGGATGCATCTGTGTCATGGTTGTGTCCAATCTGCCGAAAACAAAAAACAAAACAAAAAAAAACATCTCAGAGTTTAATTGAAGAGTGCCTTATAAGAAGTCCAGACAGCTTGAGACTGTTGGAAGTGTTTGTGGAAAGAATGATATCTAAGTACTTAATATTCATATATTTTGATATAAACAGAATAGATGTTCGTATATTCTCCATTAGCTTTCRCCTTAAAACACTGTGTTATTATGGAAATGGGAATTTCCCATCCACCAAGGACAGCAGAACATCAAAACTGTTTGTACAGGTCTGCAGACTGTGACACAGCAAAATAGGGAGGAACAAATGAAGAGACAGAATCTGCCGAATAAAACTGATTTTTATCAGTTTCTGTCTTGGAGACTCCCAAGGTTTAAATCCTGTTTATATAAAATAGAATATATATGAATCTATAATTATATATAATGTATGTATGCATATGAAATGCAATTGAGATTAAATTTTAAGGCCACAACAAATTTATTTATTTTGTGAATTCCTAAATTCTGTATAAAAAAGGCACATTTGTTTTCTATTTAGTTGTGTGAACCTGAGGGAAGATTAAAAAAAAAAAGAATATGAACGGTTAAAACAGGAAGCTTATCTAGTAGTTTATTTTCTGTAAGATCGACTTTATTTGTGTAGCATTCCATATAATCAGCTTTTTTTTWAAATTCTGGACTCGAGTCCTCAGCGCAGCATCATTATTCTGTTATGTTGTGAACATTTTCTTATGTGTCTGAAATATTTAGTGAATGTGCTTTTTGTTCCCCACCTTTCAGCGGATATACCTCTGTACCTTTTCCAACAGTCAGGCAGTCGTAGCAATGTATTCTTTAAAACTATTTTTTATAAAGTATCAATCAATCTTTTCTATTTCTAGGTTTTTTTTTTGTAATTTTGAAAAAAAAAACTTTCCTTTTTTACTGTTCTCCTTGTCTTCTGTCCTGATGTCTGGTCAGTTCAGTCTTCATTTTTTTCCCTGTCCCACTTGGTTAAGAAGCTCTCAGGCCAGCCATCCAATTGGCTCCCTGTTTCTGTAGGGAATGAAGCCATATTGATCGTGAGTGGTATCGCGGCTAAATTGGTTGTAGTTTCCAGCCAGACTGTAGCTGCTAAGTGAGGACATTCAGACGCACTGACCTCCATCCTTGGCACAGGAGTAAAGGCGACTTTACAGCCTCCCATCAGCCAAAGAGCTCCTCATCCACAGGCGCTCTGAATGTATGCTTTTTTTTAAAGGACATGCACATATTTTGACAATAATTACACTGGGTGACTTCTACAATAAAATCTGCCGAATTTTGGTTGAAATTTGCTGCTTTTTTTGCAGCTCATTTTGTATATATACTTCTGTATTTAGGCTTTTTTTTTTGTTTGTTTCTTCTAAAAGCACTGTTGTCTGTGAAACTTTGAGGTATGTCCCCTGCCTATGTTTGGTTGCTTCTGTTGTCTTGGGTTGACCTCCTTTATGCTGAAAGATTTTTAAGAAAAAGTCAAATTGCTAATTAAAAACCAAATCCTCTTTGCTGACTTTTCTGTGTATTTTTATTGCCGTCTGCTGAAGGCAAGAGGCGATTATGCTCGTGTGTCTGTTCCTTTGTCTGTTAGCATTACACTGCAGAAATTAGCCATCAAAAAATTAAAAAAAATACTCAATAATTGTCTGAATCTGCTTAAATTAGGTGAAATAATCAGCCAGTGTGGAATAAGACAAACACATTCAGCTCTTGCTTAAATACTTTTTTGGCGATTCAAGATTCTAAGAGTTGGTTAAATGGAGAGTTTTTGCAGTGTACCTACATATCTAGATGGATTTGAATGAAACTGAACAGATTTAACGACTGTTGAGCTAAAGTTTATGGTAGTAGCTGAAAGTCATCCAATAGATTCTTCAGCGTTATAACTCGCAAAATCTCATGATATTGAGCCTAACGTTAAGGTTTACTATATAACTCCATTTCCCAATGAAAGATGATTTTAGTGCAAAACTTTTGCACAAAAAGTGATGGGTGGAAGACATTTACTTTAAATCTTTAAAGGGGCAATKAAATGTAAATGGACTGTACTTACATAGTGCCTTTCTATCCATCCAGGACACTCAAAGCGCTTTATACTTACACACATTCACACACTGATGATGGATATGTGTTTCTCAGGCATACATTTAAATACTATACCATAATAAAGTATCTAATAARGTATCCTTCAGTTGTTATTAAAATGCTGTTTTTATGTTTAAATAGAAAATAAACTCATCTTCTCATCACTTCCTCTTCTAAATGCCTTGAAATTGGCCTCTGTCTCTTTAAGAACCACCTTCTGCTTCACTTCAGAAACCTGTTCAGTTTTCTCTGTTTTCTATGATGTTTTCTGAACTATTACATCAAAAATATTTGCAGCTAGTTTGTACATAAAAAGATAAGTAAACCCCTATAATGGATCGCTCTGGATCTGCAGGGGTGCGGAGTGTGAAGCGCCTCATTTGGATTTAAAGAGACAGCCTCAAAATGAGTTGATCTGAGACACACCTCAGGAAAGGGGTGAAAGAGGGGCTTGTGGAGTTACAATAAGGAGGAATTCAGACAAAAGCAGTGCAGTTCCTGTTTATATTGCCCCCAATTGAAGGATTTTAATGTGAAAAAAAAGGATTTAAAAGCATATGTCTCTTTTATTGTATTTCTTTATTTTAATGTTTGCTTTTATTTTTGTTTTTTCCATGCAAAAAAATCAAAAAAACAAACAAAAAAAGAAACGATGTGAACCTGAGACAAAATGCCACACAAGACAGTTCTGAAATATGAAGAAAACTAAATGAAACAAACGGGTCCATCGGTTTCTGCTGTCGAGATAATGAAACCGTTTTGTGCCTCGAAAAACTCTGCGGCGTTGTGGGGCTGCCGCGGCTTTGGGGGACATTTGGTYGCATGACATTTAAAGACAAAGTAAAAGCTGCTGTAGGAAACTGGATTGGAGCCATTAGCAGGCCAGAGACTGATTGGACTGTACTTAAGAGCGCGGCTTCTCCAGTTGCTGTGGGTGGCTGAATACATTAGCATGTGTGACATGCCTGGAGCTAAAGACAGCCACGTCTGTCAGCACAGCTTGCATAGAGAAATGTGTGAGTGTGTGTGTGAGTGTGTRTGTTTGGGCTGTGGCTGATGAAAAAAATGGGGTTACGCTGACATGAACTGCGTCGTTTAAAGGCATGTTGTTGTATTTATGTGGGACTGTGTAGTGTTTCTGGTTGCACTGGCTCCAATTGACTGCTTATGAAGCTGCCTGGCAGCAAGGTTGGCCTACTGTGCTGTGCTCTGTTTACACCCACATGCACAGCTGTGCAGCGCACAATCAAATCTTGCCATAGGGTTAATTCACACACAAGCACACACAGGAAAACAAGACCATAAGTTTGGCCACGGCTATCTTCACTCCACCAAACATTTAGATTTTTTTCAGAGAAGACACTGAGTGAAATCAATGTACAAGCTTCTCATTCAGCAACAAACAACCCTCCATTACATCCAGACAGGCACATTTCTGTTGAATGGTTCATCGGTCGCCCACCATATGGTAATCTGTGGTTCTCGTGGATTACTAAAATAATGAAAGGCTATGAGCAGTTGTTATATCAGTGCTATTCTTTTGCTCGGTGAGTCACAGACCCTGAAGATGGAGTGAGAGGCTGCCGGGCCCTGAAAGAGGAGGACTATTTCTGTGTCCCCTGCAGCCACTGACACAGCGCGAGTGTTTACTGCTGTGCCACGCTGCCTCTCACAGTGGGAACGGTTGAAGGATGACGACTGACATTACTGCGCCTCCAGCTCGAAGCAGGAACAGCACACGGAGAGCTTATTTAACCATCAGGTCACCAGACTGACTGCAGCATCGCAGACAAAAAGGGATACTTGCCTCCTGGCCACTTTGTTAACTCGACAACTAGTTGTTACATTATATCTAAACAGGCCAATCAAAAGAATTTAGGTTTATCTTTTAAACACCAAGACTTATGGCGTTTGTGGACAACAGGTTCAGCATGCTGAAAGGAAGAGAAAGAACAATAAAAATGAAGGAAAGGCATCACTTTTTTATATTGCAGCAGCTTGACTTCTTTAACACAAGATGGCACTGTTAATACACGTGTCCTCACAGCCAAACCCTGACTTTGGATTGCAGAGAACTCTTCCTTCAGGTCACTAATCTAAATACAGACACTCCTCATACATTGGTTTTTCCACTCTCCTCTCCTCTAACCCAGAATAGCATCCAAACAAACAAGGGATTATTTGAAATGAAAATAAGCAGCTGTAAGTGAAGTCTTCCTGCTTTTCTGATAAGTAACCCAAAAAAAAAAAAAATCATTAATGCACTCACAAGCTCAAAGAAAGTGGCCGCTCCTCGGGTCATAGATAAAAAAATATATATCTTTGAACTGGGATAACCTGGTTAAAGCTTGGTGTCTGTGTTTATCCTGCTGAGCAGTCGATCTTCCCCCCTCCTCATCAAATCAAACATGAAGCACCTGAGGAGGGGTGAGCACAGGGAAAAACAGCACAGGACTTTAGTTCAAATATTTTTAACTCTTGTTTGTGAGGAGTTCATTTTCAGAGAGCTTCTCATATCTAATTTTGCCTGAGTCACTCAGACATTGTGGGAAAGCAAGTGAACTTAGAGTTTGATACAGAAAAAGCTTTGTAAAAATAATCAAAAATCAAATATTTGAGAAGTAGCACTTTTTCAACATCATTCATTTACAATTTATGATTTTGTTAAAACGATGCCTTGGATCTTTAATAGTGTTCTGTGTAAAGGTTACAAATATCTTTTGTGTAGTAGATTAGCTTTATAAATGACCTCAGAAAGGAGAAATAGAGTTTTAAAATATATATATTATGCTTTAAAATCATTTAGGCTACTTCACATTTACACTAGATCATTCATATCTATATAAAGTGGAACTGCTTATTTGTTCATGTCAAGCTCTATGGGTTGTCTGTAAATTGTAGATTTTCTCCCATTTTGCAGGTATGCGGACAAATAGGGCAATCTCACAGATTTTTTCAAATCTCACAGATTACAGATTTATGTCGCAGAACCTGTAGGACATTAAAAACAAAACAAAACAAAACAAAAAATAAATAAAGTTTAAAAAAAACCCTCCCCAACCTGCTCTGCTGCTGGAAAGAAGTTCTCCAGTTCTCCTCGTCCTCCTTTCTCTGCTCCTCTGCACTGCAGGCGCTGTTATCGCCACCTCACATTCTGGCTTTCCCCGCTGCAAACAAAGATTTTTTATCTAAAAGTTACAGATTTTTGAGGTTCATGATTCAGGTAAATGCTGGAAGGTAACTCCGTCCCCACTTCAGCTTCCAGAGGGGAACTAGTTTGATAGAGGGTTTTACAACTATATAGTGTATATACTTGGATTTTACAAATTACAGCATTCCCACAACTTGTTCAACATCAAATTCCAGGACCTTTCAAGGACTTTCCAGTACCAATTTCCTCAAATTAAMGAACCRCATACAACGGCAATTACCTACTGCGACCTTAGAATGTTACCAATAAACAGGTTTAATATCATGTAAATTCAATGAAAAACTGAACAACATAGAAGTTGTTGAGTTCCAAACAATGACGTCAGTTTATTGTAATCCTGAGTTATCCACCTCAACAAACGTACATTTTTAAATCAATTTTATAATTTATATTTTTAAAGATGATGAAAATCAGTCGTGTGAATAGAGAATTTCAATCCCCCCAAAAACGTTCAAGGACTTTCGAGGACAAGTGTAATTTTTGGCTGCTTTCTCAAACTTTCCAGGGCCTTGAAATAATTTTTCAAATTCAAAAACTTTCAAGGATTTCAAGGACCCGTGGGAACCCTGAAATTAATTAAAATATGTCAACAAGGGAAGACTCGTCCATCCAGCCTCGCATGTTGCAGCCAGAGTGACCCAGAGCCAGAGGAGAATGCAGACGACCAAATTGGTAAGTCCAGACCTTATTTAGCAGTTCCGTTGCAAATACTGTGATGTAATTGTTCCAAAAACATCACAGAAAAAAAATGAACTGGTTGAAAAACATGACCCAAACAGAATATAAAGATACGGAGCAGGGGAAAAGACTAAATTCCACTTTTCTGCACTCCTAAAGRCTCCAAGTACACAACAAAAGGCTTTTAACAGGTAAAATAGTGGATTTTGTRTATTTGCCCCCTTTAAATCTGACCAGCTACTGGCTAGTTTGAGCAGGACGAAAATGGACTTCTGCTTTTTAAAAACCCCCAAAAAACTTCAGAGTAAAAAAATGTCATAGTTGCCTGTGTAAATGTTATACTGCCATTTGTGCTTAGAAATAAATGGAAATCTATGTAAATAACCACGTAATGTAAAACTGACAGCAATGTAAGGATTTGTAAAACTGCATCTGCACTGGGTTTGAGTGAGAGAATGATTGTTTGTCTCATTTGTCTTTGTGTGGTTCTGTGATGGACTTGTWCCCCGCCTCTTTTTAACGACTGCTGGAGATAGGCACCCACTCCCCCATCTGACTTTACTTACTAAATTCTGGTAACTATATTATGTTAATGCACTTGTGGCATAATCAACAGATCCATATTCTGGGCTGTTACATGACAGCAGAGGCTGGTTTTCAGTATTTTTTCTTCCTGAAAGCAGCTGGATGTTTTTGTTTTTTTCTTTCAGTCTCACATAATTCTATCKTTACCATCAGCACCATCCAGAATCACTCAAGGTCTCCTCCACAATGCTTTTTAATTTTGAGACGTCTGCGCTTTAGAGTTTGACTTTCATGCTTAATATTGGACTTTTTGTCCCAACAGGCATGAGGAGCTCTCAGGGAGCCGGCTGTAATATCTGTATCAGCCTCTCCAGTTTGGGTGAACCATCCCTTTCAGAAAGACTCTCCGGGCTTTCATGGCAATTTACTCTCACATCTCCACAAAAAGAGTCCTCAGAGACCGTCTTTTGCCAGATAGACAACTAACAGAATGTTGCAAAAAAAAAGGCGAATTTATACTATTTTGCCAACAATGAGTGCAGAAGCTCAGACAGCAGCACACTGAATGCATCTGTTTTAATAAACACACGACTATTTGATGTGATAAGCAGAAAAATGGAGAGAAATAAATTATATTAACACTGATTTTACGAAGTTTTTGGAAATGCCTTGGGGGGCTTCCAGTACACTTGTCAGTTTATTTGAAGTATGTTTGCAATTACTGCATTTGTTAAGACGTGGCAACATTTTTTACTGACACGTTGCTTTGGGCTATTGACATTATTGATTCAAAAATAACAATACAGCAGCAGTCTAAACTCCATTTATGGGTAAATTCATAAATCATTTACATATATTTACATAGTGTCTTAGCACAATCTTTTTCTTTACGAATTTCATGTCACTGACAATTACTTTTGTTATCATTGAGATTATTACCCCACTGAGCCCAGATGAGTCAACATCCCTATTTACATGGAGGCGAGATACTTTTATACCATCGTAAACAAAGCATTATTATCCATCAGGACAGGAAGTCTCAAGTTATAAAAGAGAAAACAATAAAAGCATATATTTCTATTTTGTCTCGTCAAGCCAATGTGGTGCTAAACTTCTCTGCTAATGAGGATTGGGTTTAATGGAGAGGAGAAAAAGAAATTTGTTTTATTCCATGGACTGAACGGGATGGATTCAAACCCATACTGCTCAGAGTTTTTAAACAATCACCCTTGGGTATCAAGAGTCTTTTAAGGAAACTACATAATGTTTCATATGACAAYTGAGATTATTCATACAATGAAATTTTAATTGGAGAAGCAAGAAAAACAATAGAATCATACAAAAGACTTCAAAGCTAGCGATCGCGACGCAACTGCTCCATTTTCATCTTTTTTTATTTGTTCCCACATAACTTGAATTCTCCCGGGCATTTATGCACCTTAATGTGATGACAGAACATCAATTACGAATGCATATCTCGCTTGCTTATCTGTTATTTGCAGATGAGAGTCATTTCTGCCGAGATGCATTGTTACAGATTAGAATCGCCTCGACAAAGAAGGAAACGTTTGAACAGAAGAGGCACTATTTTAAGCATTCTGCAGCAGCCAGGAAAACAAAGGCGGATAACACATCAGCGAGTACATCACAAAAGACAGCTGAAGTCTGTGCATCTTTAATTACAGAACGCAGCTTTAACATTATGCAAAAACAGAAAAGAACCGGTACAAAACACAAAGTCAGACTCACAGACTTCACTGTTTTTGTACTGACATGAAGGTTTTTCCTCTCTTAATTCTCATTTTGGATCATATTCATTTGTGTCCAGTATTTCAGTTTTGTGTTTGCATGCAGCTCAATAGTTCCTAAGATGCAGGTTTGCACGTTGTCATAAAAAAGTGCTTTTAAAAACTTAGATTTTGATGGTTTGAGAGACATAAAGCCTAAATTCTGGACATGCTTTGCACGTGCTTAGACTTTTCTTGCACATTTGGATTTAGAGAGCATTTGTTTTTCTCTTGATTCCTTCACAATTATATTTGATGTCTGTAGTTTTTCGGTATGCAAAAGGCTCTTATCTGCTTGTCATGTAAACTATAATATTTAAAACTAACACACCTCTGCAGTTGCAATGAAACAAACTGAAAATKTTTCTTAAAGGTATTGTTTATTGGATAAGACAATAGGATGAATTCAGAGAAAAATGCAGAGCAATAAATCACAATCACCAACTTTTTAAGCTTCAAAAATTGCAACTGAACTGTGTCATTAGATTGCACTCCTGTTCTCATAGAAAAAATTAGATTTTTTMATCTGTCTTTTAGATCAATCATTCAGCATTATTTTTAAATTGTGGAGGACGGGGTTTGATTACCTGGTCTTTATTTATGAGTGCATCTTAAAAAACACTTCAGATCAAATGAAAAGATTGATTTATTGCCTCACAGTTTATCTACTGCTGCTAACATGCCGACAATAGTCTAGTTGAACGCTAACATTCAGAGAATTAAAGTCTTAGTAGAGTACAAATAAAAGCACAACAATAATAACAAAAAAGAAAAAAGACTGCTAAAATATACTTTAAACTGATTAGTTCCTTGTGATATCTTTAGAGCTAAAATGCTGTGATTAATCAGCCTCTYATAGGAAATTAAAAGGGTGAAAATGTGACCACTACTGACGAGGCAATGCCTTTTAGGAGAGAATCAATCAATCCTGCTTAGACTGACTCGTGTTTGATGAAAAAGAACAAACTACAAAAGCCTGCTTTGGTCTCAAAAAGTCATCTGGAATATTTATCAGAGCGAGTTTTCACCCACAGACACGGAAAAAAAAACAATCTAAACCTCAAACAGCTCCCACGTCAGATCCTCCCCAGCATGCGAGCGATCCACCAGTTGCACGGCATCACGATCTGACAAATGACCCGGCCTCCTTGGTAGTAGTACGGCCAGGGGTTGAATCCGCCCAGGGGCTCGTGGTAGCGTCGACAGTAGCGGTAACCACGGCGACAGTGCTGGCAGCAGAAGCCGCGGTCGTCCAAGTAGTGATCCAGCTCGATTCCAACGTCCCTCTGAAAGAGGACACACAGGCGCAGGCAGGGTTACAATCACACATATGACAAATGCCAGTCCTCCGGAGGCAAGGGCAGGGGAGAGGAGGAACGGGTGACGGGAATGGATGAGGCTGCTTTGGTTCTGGGTCAGCAGAATGCATGCACAGAAAAAAGAAGGCAAATGTGAGTGAAAAGATCAGAACGGATGTCTGTGAAAATACAAACTTGTGTCACATTTAACGACTGACAAAAAAGATCAAGACAACTGCACGTGGAGCAGGTTGAGAATAAAATACGTCCTTGACCTTKTTTGTTACGACGCTCGGGGCGGTGCGACAGGCGGCGAAATCAGTTACCACCTCCCTACCAGCTCTGTCTTCAGTCCAAGGGACTGTAAGTTGCTAGTTACCAACATAATTACACTATTTCTTTCATCCATGACCTCTTAACTCCCTCCAGTGAAGCACACACTGCACAGAAAACGGCTGCCCCTCCTCCAACAGAGCATTCAAATTATAGCTCCTCACGTCGCGATGCCCTCCCCCTGACCTTGACTTTAAGTGCAAGGCACATTCCTGAAGCAATTAGCAGAGTAATGATCGCCTAAGAAGGATTCTTTCATTTGCTCTCGCTGGCTGCCTCTGAATTTATAGCGGGGCCAAATGAAACCCAAACGAAAGGTAAATTGGGTAGAATTAATGGCCCTTAGATTTTTCCATTGTGCTGGTTGGTTCGTGCCCTCATTGACTCTTTGGGCTGACTGCCATGCTTCTGATCAAGAACAACTCCCAATGGGGTTCGGAGAAGTGCCACTTAACTTGCGTGGCGGCGGCGGCGGCGGGCTGAGTGGCAGCGGCTGCCCTCGGTACGCGTTCGACCACATTTCAATCTCGTTTAGTAAATGAATCCTCCGAGACGATCCGGCTCAGTCGTGTTAATCTCCTTGGGTCCAGGATGGCCTTCGCGTTCGGAACAAACCGGTGCGAGAATTCTTCCAGTGACTCAGCTACGTGCAGTCATGCAGAACAAAACACATCCACTGTTGGGAATAGAGAATGTGTGGAAAATGCTTTAAGAGGACCGGACCCCGAGGGGAAATAGAGCCGAGTCCCTTCAACCAACCCAAGTGTGGGAATAACCGGGTTTCTCGTGTCTATTCTGCAAGCTGCCGAGCAGTCGATCTCACTCTTTGTTTTTTTGTTCTGTGGGAGTTAGCTGCTTGGAATTTGATATAAAAGTTGGTTCTGCGTTCGATTTGAGCTCTGGTAAAGTGAGCAACATTACACACTTGTGAGACATATTTAAAACACATAGGGATGGGTGCAACAGATGATATCGAGGATACCKGCGTTTGATTTATGACTATGACAGGCCCAGCTAGGCTTTTAATGATTTATTGTTTCAGTCAGGTTCCAGGTCATCAGCTCCCAGGCAACAATCTGTTAGGGAAGCAACACGAAAGCTGTCAATGGACCAATGATAATCTTATCTCCTCCTCGCAGCCCAAGCTAGGATGTAACKAAGTTCGGAGCTGCAGCTCGGAAAATGAGGAAAATATTTTATTCAAATGATCTTCATCAAAACAAACAGCCAATAGGCAGCATTGTACCTTAAAGAGAATTAATCAGAGTTATCCTTTTAAAACGGAGGGTACATATTAATCACCTCGGCTTTGAGTTGCTGTCTCTGGTGGGAAGCTGTGACGATAAGAATAGTTCACCTTGGGAAATCTGAGACAGTCACTCACAAACAAGCAGCATTAATGAAGAGTAAAAGCCATTACCACCTTGCTGCATCTGATTTCATCACATATTCATGCTCACATATACACACACGCGCGCGCTCCCTCATGCAGGCACCTCGGCGCATATTACGAGACGCTGGATGCGAATGATTCGGCGGAGTAGAAAACTGTGTCAGTCATTCAATAAGATGTAACAAATCAAAGCATGACTCCTCTAATCTTCACACTTGTTGGTATTATTTCACACACACTGATCACCGCTCTTCATGAGCTTGAAGCACATGCCTGGATGTGCTATTAAATCTCAGAGCAGAGCTCATCACATTCATCCGGTGATCAAAACAGCAGAGATAAYGTTTCTTTTTCACGTCCTGCTTTGTATTCAAAAAGGTTCTTTTATTAATAGAAGTACACAGGATAGAGCGACGCCTGAAATGCTTTTGCTGTGAGTCTTGACCTCAGATTTTCATCTCGCTGTGCTTTACAGAGAGGTGGAACGACAATAAAATGGGATATACAGTAATTCAATAGCACATAGTCATGTATTTCAGCGTACTCAAAGTGATAAGAAGCTTTAGCCTCAGCATAAAGATTCCTCTGGAGTCACAAATGGCTTCTGCGTTTATGGATCTGAATTCCTTCAGCTTTTTACACCTCTATAATGCGTCTGACTGTGGCGCCTGCAGGTTGCCAAGAATTTAACAAGTTTAACATGCAACATGAACCCTTGAACATGGGCAGAAATTACAGAAACACATGCGTGTGGTTAGTTTATATCAGGGGCTTGTTTTAGATGTATGGGTCAAGAGCAGAGGTACGATCCTGTCAGGCATGTTGGAGGAAGGGGAGGGGAGGTTATTTAGCTRAAAATTTGCAGGGGACGCCTCTGAGACAACCCGCGCTCTGACATGGCGGCGCAGCAAAGTTCAGCAACATATATCTGTCAGCCTTCTGTCACAAGGACGCATGATGATTATTCTGCTTTCATGAGCGAGCGCTGAGGACAGAAGTGGCTCGGAGTTTCAAGCTTATGAAATGCAGATGAAGCAAATACGCAAATGTGACACGTGTGTGTGTGTGTGTGTGAGGGTAGGTGGGCGTTGGGGGTTCTGCTTGTGCGACAGAAGAAAAAAAAGAGGAGGAAAAACTGCGCGAGGTGTGTGCTCGTTTTCTGACTGTGTGCACATTTACATGAATCGGGGAGGGAAATAAATATATAAAGAAAGAGAGAAAATAAAAGCTTGGCTCACACATGTGGCATCCCACTGGCGTGAGCGAGAGTTCAGACTCCCAATTACAGACTGCTGCCTGGCCTCTGCTTGGCCACAAAGGCCTTTGTTATCACCAGACCCACAAACAGCGCCCGGACGTGCTGCTGGAATGGATTGCGGAGGTATGCATTACTCAGCTGATAGTGTTTGAGCGTTTCAAAAGAGAAGCCTGAGTTTTTTATTTTTATTTTTTTTTTTATCCCCTGGTATGTTTTAATTGCTGCATCTCCTGTCGCAGACACCAAGGGGGGAAGAAACGTCGAGCGGGGTGGTGGTGGGGTGTTCCGTGGATGAATATGATAAATGTCAACATTACAGGACATCTCATTTCTCTGCGCGTCTCTCACTGTTCCTCGTAGCTCTAACTCATTATCCTTGAAGTTAGCTGTAGTGACAACTCACCTGTAAGTGTCTAACTTGTGTGTCCGTGCTCGTTTTCTCGCTCCTGTGTGCATGGCTTACAAGTAATATACTCTGCAATGCGAGTTTCCCCCCTCACAGTCAGAGATAATTAATCGCACACAACTGAGCGATTTACATGCAGCACGGCAAAAAAATAAAATTAAAAAATTAAATAAAAAAATTCCACTTGGCTTCTCCGTTTATTTTATATGCTTTGATAATTAAAGCCTTATTAATAAATGCAACTTATCCACGCAGCACTGAGTGACCTTGGGAGTGTTTCTTTGTAGAGTACTGTCCACTGCCTGAATGGAAAAAAAAAGAAAAAGGAAAAAAAGGCACTAACGGGTGCTGTAAGGCACAAGTTGCTGCCTTTGAAAGGCTGGATATTCCTCTCAATTAATGGGGAGACATTAAGGAAGTCTTCAATGAACTAGCCTTACTTAAACAGATATATAGAGCAATTGCTATGCCCTCTGGTGCACAAAGTCAGTTTTAACATCAATTAGTGAGCAATTTATATGCAGAAAGAGTCGAGGCAGAGCTGGGGCTGATGGAAGCAGCTCACTGTATCTCCTACTGTGGTCCCTGTGAAGGAGGGTCTGACTTACATAGTCATTTACAGGAACGTGATCCAGGACATCCCGGGTGAAACGCTGACCTGGGACCTCTGCGTCAGGTGTGTCCTCCTCACCCTGACCCTCAGCATCTGAAATCACAGAAAAGGTTTTTTTAGCCAGACATATATGGAGCTAAATTGTAGCCACAACGTTTGTAAAAAAAAAAAAAGAAAACCCATACATACATACATACATACATACATACATACATACATACATACATACATAC